GTTTTAAAGATTGGATGTTTTTAGAATTTAAATGATGTCAGAAAGTACCACTATATGAGAGTGCACTCGGCGTGAAATTTTCGATGCATTGTTTAATGCAAGTCTAATCATGCGGTTTTGCCGTTGATATACATCTCTTCAAACAATATTGCCTGGATACTGCGAAACTGTTGATTAAAAGCTATCCATGGTATTATATGCCAACATCAATTCATGAAGTGCTCATCCATGGGCCTCTCATTATTGAATGGGCACCCCTGCCAACTGGGCAACTTTCCGAAGAAGCCCAAGAGTCAAGGCATAAGGATGTTAAAAAATATCGGGAAAACTTTTCAAGAAAATATTCCAGGATAAACTCGATGACAGATATTTTTCATTGGCTGCTTGTATCCTCGGACCCTGTCATTTCAAGTTTATGTTTAAACCCACCAACACAAAATCATAAACTGTCATCAGATGCCATTAAATTATTATCAAAAATATTGATATGAACTTGGATACTTCAGATGACTGCGAGTCTGACGGTGTATAAAATTGTTATCTTAAAAATATATTCCTGTACCAAATAATAAGTATGTCTTGTTTATTGATTCATCTCCCGTGCAAATTTGAACATCAACATTGTTAGAAACAAACATTAAGACCTCGTTAGTGTTTGTCAGAGCGTCTCTTCCGATTTGTGGTGTGCGCCTCGATGTTGGCGTACAAATGGGAGGGACCAACACCTTTTCGCCGAATCCGAACGGAGATTGTATTTTTATGAGAAGCTGTTCTTCGTGGCTGAATACACTACGGGGTTCGTCATTGCCTGCTAAAGGCCACTATTACAAAAAACTTTTTTGTTTCTTATTTTTTGATGTTGGTCGGAAACTGGGCTTGGTTGGACCCAGGCCCTGCGGAATGATAGCGTACATTGCTAACCGCTACACCACATTTTATAACAAAAAAGCAGAAAACATGACCTTTTATACTTAACTACCTTAGTTTTGCTACAAATATGATTATGTTAAGCGTACACAGCGGGCATTATGGATCCGCCATTTTGAATGTCGAAATTTTGTGGTGAAATTTAAAACCAGCAACCAAATAAAAAGCCGAATACACAAGGTTTGATTACAATTGTACCACGCTTCGACTTTTGGCCAGCTTAGGTAAAGGCCAGTAAAGGTTTTGAGTGCTGTTAGTCTAATACGAAAGTAAAAAGCAGCTGAGGTAGGCAACATTTCTCGAATTTGTGTTGTAGTTTTCTATAATTTTATTAATTTATGCGACTGTTTTGTTTCCATAGAATTCGCTAGAAGACGCGAAAGATTTTAAACCGAATTTGCACTTACAACCGAATTATTTTCAAGATAAGTATTACATACGTCAAAAGTCCAGGGACCAAAAATAACTGTTATCCCGAATTTACAAATTGAAAACGTTGCCCGAATTCTGAAATTCAACGAAAACGTTGTTTCTTAACAGTTATTAGAGGAAAAATATTTTTTATTTCGCCGATAAAAGTTAAACGCAAGGTTTATTTTTTACGTTGCTTGATAACAGTTATTGCCCAATGTTTATTTTTTACGTTGCTTGATAACAGTTATTATCCAACGTTTATTTTTTACGTTGTAAATGTAAGGTAAAAATATTGACGAAAACGGAGATGGAGATGGAGAAGAAGATAAAGACGATGAAAATAAAAGTGGAAGAGTCAAATAACTGTTATCAGACAACGTAAAATTAAACGCTGGGAAATAACTCTTATTGGCGACAGAAAACATATTTCTCCTGCATAACAGTTATCAGGCAACGTAAAAAGTGAATGTTGGGTTATAACTTTTATCGGTGAAATAAAGGTTATTTCTCATCTCATATTTCACGTAACGCTTCATCTGAAAGCTTACATGCATACGAATAAGTGGATGTGTATGTACACATGTTAATGGACATAATAACTATCAAATGCAAATGCGAGTTCTACAGTACAACAATAAAAAAGAGGTAATAAACTTTGCAATGCTGGCAAAATGTGGTAAAAACTTGGTGGTAGGCGTTCAAAAACAATGCCAAGGACATTGCCAGGATAACGTGCCATGCAATGCAATGTCAATAAACAACAATGTGAACACAACACAACACAAACACAAAAAAAAAAACCAATAGCAGCAGCAACAGGAAAAACGTGAAACATGTAAAACAAAATGAAAAGCGGCCACAAACACGAAATGAAAAAAAGAAAAACAAAAAACGCAACTGCACGCCATGACAATGAAAATATGGAAAGTAAACACAAATAAAAGTTGAAATGAGTAAAGCAGCAACACCTGGAGGAATGTGTGGTTAGTGCAGCGACGTATTGCATGCACTTGCCGCGCTGCTCTGTTTGTGCATAAATTTGTGCACCCATGTGTGTTTACAACTTGAAATTTATACATATTTTGCTACGAACATGGTTAAGAGTGAGCCACTGTGGCAGGCGAAGCGCTATAATAAAAACTAAAACTTCAAATTAAATAAAAGAAAATAAAATTAAAATAAATAGGAGAAAATTAAAAGTAGTATTAAAATAAAATGAAATAAAATAAGCAAAGAAATTAAAAACTAGAAAAGAAGAAAAAAGGTCCAAAACAATGAGTAAAGTAAAATGTAATAGAACTTTGCACAAAATGAAGTAAAATGGTACAAATATAAAATAACGAACAACATACTTGTTCCACACAACAATGCATTCGCGAAGTTTTCTATATCGAAGCATGAAAACCTAAGCCATAAATGAGCAGAGGTATGCAACACAGCTGTATGTGCATACATATCATTTCAGAGACGATGACACAAAATGGTTAGACATAGAGATAGACATTCTTCATAAATCTAGAGCTTCTTCTATGTCAGCAGCTAACATACTGAAGCCATCAGTTCAACTTACAACTGCATACTTATGCACATACATATGTATGTATGTATGTATTTGGATTACTGGCTCATTAGCGCTTGCATTATAAGTCAATTACACTTAACCTACTTAGCCTACACCTATGCCTTACCAAATAGTTCATCTATATTTATCAAGCCCGCTTTCTTTTAATTGCTTGTCCTCCTCTACGCCTACGACGTTCAGGCTAACAGCGAACTAAATCCTTTCATTTTACTAACAAACTTTTTTTCATTTATGCATTTACTTTTTCATGGAAACATATTTATGTATGTATATATGTACATATGTAATTATCTATTTAATATCACACCCATCTACCCACTGGGAAAATAGGTAAGCACCTTACGAGGTAAGCCATGTTTTCTTTCAGTTTTTAGTACCAAAATTGTCATCATGGCCAATGTCATCTACTAGTAAAGCACAAAATGAACACCTCCAACGACACATTACGTTGTCAGTTGCAAAGTAACGTGCAGCCGAAGTTATCTCCAAGCGCCGAACTACTCCGAGCGACTTCTCTGCATTACACGTAACTTACTTTGTAAAGCGGCTCAGAAGTGTGTCTGATACCAAATGTACATTCTAAATTCCTAATTACATAAGGCGGCCATGCCTTTGTAAAAGTAAGGGACGTTCGGCAGGGAAATGGCAATGACTGCCAGGTGAAGAGTAAGTTGCTAATAAGGTATTATTACGTGCTCCTAATTCCCACTGGGTACATACATATGTATGTATGTATTTATGTAGCTTTTTATAGTGAAAACGCTAGATTTGCAGATTTGCTTTATTCGGGCTTAAGCATACTGGTTTTATGAATGACTTGGTGCTTGTGTACGGATAATTTACATATGTACATATATGTAAGTGCAAGCATTAAATTTGATTACATACATCTGCACGCATATATAAAAAAACCACTGACTTATTGACCTCATTACCATTTCGCACTTAATTGCGCGACGTGCTCAGCATCTTTATTTATAATCCACATTCATTTTACCCATAAACATCAGTAGGCGTGCTACTGAATGCATCATTCTATTTTCGCTATTCGTTTATTCAATGCGAATGGCTCAAGTATTACTTTTTATAACTAACATTAAATTTTAATGACATATTCTCTTTCGTACTCGTAATACATATGTACGAACTTATACTTATGTTAGAACTGGTAGCCTTTAACTGGGGTAGACGGGGTTGTTAAGCCCGTACCCTGGAAATACCAAAGCCCCATGTCTTCCCTCCTGTTTTATCAAACCGGGCTTGGGACCGTCTAAGGCACAGTTGCCCCACATTGACAATTGGTACCGACAAAATTGTTGCGTTGCGGAGCGGTGATCAACGATTTTGATCCGCTGTTCTTTTGAGCGTCGTGGGGTTAGGCCGCCGTGGGTAGATACCCAGGTAAAACACCGACACACGTTACTGTAATATATACGATTGGTGGTTACGCGATTCACGGTACCAGAGCTTCAGCCGCGTGTTGGAGGTAGAGAAGAATTTCCGTAAAAAGTTGCTACCGATCTCTGATCCCTCTCTATTTTAACTACCTTCACTAATTTATTATGCAAATTTATTTATTGCCCCATTTAATCACCACATGCATCAAAATCAAATATAAGGAAGCCACAAAAACATTAGCCAGCATAACTGTGAACCCCATAACGAAATACGCGCGAAATGTGAGCTTATACAAGTGCTTATTCGCCACACCAGCTGTCACTATATTCGCAGAGGCGCCAATGAGTGTACCGTTACCACCAAAGGCTGCGCCCAGGACGAGCGCCCACACCAACGGTTGCAGCGGCAGCGACAAATTCCGACTTTGTGATAGCGATATCACTACGCGTATCATCATCTGTGTAACAGGATTGTTGTTGAGAAAGCTCGAAGCTAAGGCCGTTATCCACAATATCAGCATTAGCGCCACTAAGAGCTGATACTCTTTATTCGTGCTGTCTATAGCTTGCACCACGATTTTACCGAGTAAGTCCTCCAAGCCCAACCTCGAAAGCACCTCGATTAGCACAAAAAATGAAGAGAGAAACATCAACGTAGACCAATCAATGCGACACATTAGACTCTCGAAGTCCCGGAAATCCGCCAGTATGAGTATAAGTATGGCGCCAAGCAATGCGGTCCAAGAATAGTTGACCGTGTGAATATACTCAAAAGAGCGTAGCGAATAAATGGTCACCACAAAAATCAAAACTACGCCACATTCCAATAGCAGAATTTTGTCCCATTTGCCGTGACGCTCCTTCAGCTTTTTCAGTGTGGTTTCGTAATTGCGCTTCGGCTTTACGTCTGGCATAACATCGCCATTCAAGGCCTCACGAAAAGCTTCAACCACGCGCTTCATTAAGTTGCGCACCCTGCGATCGTCATCCAGCACATTGCTCACTCCACTCGATGCGCGCGACCACCTTTTTATGCCGCGTTCGAGGAGCTCCTCGCGCAAGACCGAATCGTCGCGGTATTCCAGCAACTCGTTGCGCTGAAAGTAGTAACGCAATTGCCAGTGGGTCTGCAGGAGCGCTAGGAGCGCGCATGGTGCCAAATGTACAACGAAGTTGCCAAAATCTATGCCATGGCGGTGCAGATATTCATTTGTGGTGATAAGTATATTCGGCGGGCTCCCTAACGGCGTGAATGAGGCGCCAACATTGGCGCAAATCATCAGATAGGAAAGCACATAGACAGGATTAAGACCGGAGACCTCACAGAGTTTAATAATGATCGGCGAAAAGAGCAGCATTGTGGTGCTGTTGTTGAGAAAAGCTGCCAAGATGCTGATGAATGCGCATAGATTCCAAATGAGTCGCCAAACACGACCCTTGGATATTTGATAGGCAAACACTGCCACGAGATCGAAGATGCCAGCGTCGGCCATAATAGCCACAATGATCATCAAGCTGAAGAGCAAGCTCAGCATGGGCATGTCAATCCACTCGACCAGCTCATCGAAACTGGGCTTCGGATTGAGTATGGAGAGTATAGCCAAGCCGAATGTTGAGCAAATGAAGGCGCATATTGTCGGGTGGACGAATTCGAATATGTACAGTACATAGAGCAGTAGCAGCACCAGTAAAGCGAAGAGTAGACCCTTTTTTGTTGGCACAGGGTACCAATCGTAATTGTATTTGACCGTCACAATCTCATCGTAATTGGTGTAGACGCGTAAAAACATTTTGGTATTGTCATCTTTCGATATGTTTTTCCACAGGGTGAGTATGGTATAGCGCTGCATTGGTTTGATCAGTTCTATGCGGTCGCTGAGATCGAGATATTCGCTCCACAAATCAGCAACATTCACCGTAATGATCGGCTTCGCGTAGTCGTCGTAGAAAGTGCGTACGGCCTGTATGTAAATGAATCTCGCTTCATCCTCTCTCTCAGAATACACCAGATTACCATCATCCAGGAAAGGTCCAGCGATTGATATGGAAATCGATTCGTCTGTTATGTCAGGTACGGGTATTATTTTCGTTTCATTTGGTATAAGCGAGACAAGTGTAGGATTCTTTTGAATTTCTCTGTCGATCAGAAACTGCGCGGTGAATGTCACCCAAATGAAAAACAATGCAATGGGCTTTACCCATTCCTTCCTGACGACAATGATATCCGTAATTTGCAGCTCCGGTGGCGGAGGTGGTGGTTTCTTCCTTCTCCTCTTCACTTTTTTGGCCACCATCATGCCAAATTTCTGCAACAGCTTCTTCTGAGCTTCGCTCAATTGTAATTCCTCATCGATTATCTTATCCACGTCCTCCCGAGTCAATCTTCTTTCTGTTGGGGACTGCTGTTTAAATTCTGCTTCGCTTTCAATTGCATCTAAGCTTGTCGCTGGCGTCAATGGAAGGTTAGTTCCCACCTTGCTTTGATCGTCCGACATATTCCTTGCTGTTTGGATTTCACGGTTTTTTGCACAATTCTGTGTAACTGATAAGAAACTAATTTACAAAAAAAAATACGTATCTATATGTGGCTGCCATGATACAAAAAAAGAAGGTAGTTTCAATAAACAACTTTTGACGAATAATAAAATTTTTTGAAGTTTCATAAATTGTAAGCAATCTCAACGGCCTTGCCAGTTTGATAACATTAAAACAATAAATCGGAGTATTTTCTTTCCCACATTTATACCACTTTAATAATATTTCAAATGAAAAATCATTCTCAGTGATTGGTAATTTTTTTACTCACGTGGTTCGCACCTTTTTTATTAAAAATATATAAAATATGTAATGTTAAAGGAGACTTCATTGAAATTGTTCTTTTTATTTTATAATAAAAATCATGAGAGCCCTCCGATAAGCAACTAGCATAAGTATAATTTTGATCCCTTTCTTCATCCGTTCTGAACTCTAGTTTTGTCAGCCCCCTTTTTGAGATTATGCATTGAAAATTAATTCATCATATTCGACATCTTTGAGTGGACTGATGAAATCTTGTGCTTAAAAAAAAAAAATATTACTGCTCGTGATCAGGTAGCATGAATTTAATGAAATGTCATAATTTTATTAAAAGTCAAATGGTTAACAACAACAACGAATGTCATTAAATGAAACTACCTTCTTTTTTGTATCATGGTGGCTGCTACTTTTATATTTCTGTAACAAAATATTCAGCGAATGCTGAGCCTTAAGGGAACTAACAGCAGCAACCAAGGCGAACTAATATAAGGTGATAGCAGGAGTACAAAAACAAAAATTTAAATGTATTTTGTTTTTTTGCTTTGGCGGCATAAACTGTTCAAACAAATTTTTTTAATTTGACATTAGAAGCCGTGAGGCGAAACACATACACAAAATCAGCTGATCTAGTAACACCACCTTATATAAATTCGCCTTGGCAGGAACGATAATGGCGGTGATGGAAAACAGTGATCAAGGCGAATTCATATAAGGTGGTGTTACTAGCTCAGCTGATTTTGTGCATGTGTTGTGTTTCGCCGCACGGCTTCTGATATCAAATTGAAAAATTTTGTTTGAATTTCTACACACACGCTTACAGATTTTGACAGTTTATGCCGCCAAAGCAAAAACAAAATGCATGTAAATTTTTGTTTTTGTACTCCTGCTATCACCTTATATTAATTCGCCTTGGTGGTGTTGCCAAAACAGCTGCTTTAATTCGCCGCGGTAAACATATGCCAGAACTACTTATGAATGAGTGCGAAAGTAAGAGTGTTGAAGTTTTCTGTCCCTGAAATTTGACATTTGTGTACCGAAAGCGAAAAGAAAGTGCATGTAAGTTTTTGTTTTTGCATTACCGCTACCACCTTAAATATATGAATTCGCCGTGGGTGATACGTGTCGGTATCGGTGAACAATCGTTGACTCTCTTCGTGGTCGGTTCGATGGACGGGAACCGGGGGATGTACTGCTGAATCGGCTGCTGATTTCTAATTAAGGTGGGAACGAATGGTGACTGGTGAAGACTGCCCTAGTGTAGGTGGATACCACTCCCGTAGTCGCACATTACTACAATAACTACTGAGGCTAGTTGGTTGAGTGGGTGGCGTGGGTCGTGTGCCAATCACGGTGTATCGAGCAACAATACTTCAGAGCGTATGTCATACCGTAAAGTCAGCATCAACAATACAGCTTATCCACGAAGATGGCTGGTGTCTTGTGGCCCTGCATAAGACCTTTAGCGCTAGACTTTTCAAGCCGGCAGGGAAGTGCAACGATCAATGCAAATATTTCACACGGTTGGTGGAATACTGAACATAAATTTCAATTTACTGACAGTGAACAACTTTCAGGTTGACAAAGGTTTCCTTTTCACTAAGCTATACTTAGTTTCCATCACAATTCAAAACCAAACAAGCAAATAGTTAGGTCCTAGAAGCGAAACACAGCGGCTGCAATCTTTTTTCGGTACAAATTCCAACTAAGCACCTACTTCTGTGCATGCCTTGTACGAGAAAACGAAACGCTGTTTTCGGAGCCACATTGGCCAGCAATGCCGGGGCTATGGCAGTGACTATGGTCATGGCCATTTACTTTGATGACTATGACGATGGCAGTGGCCTTATCTTCGCGCATGTGCGGGTGAGCAGATGGACTCCAAGCTTTGACGATAAGCGCGCTATTGCCACTTAGCACTGGTGTTTTTTTGCCCTTTTCCACAATATTACCTGTTGGCAATAATATTATTTTACACGCCATGTGCTGCGAGCTGTCGTAAGGCATGCGGTGGGTATGTACATAAAAATAATAACTGTTCTGCAGCTGCGTCGGTCATTTCATTTCACTTCGGCATACCGCTTACACATATCCTATATTAATACATATAGGCGCTAGCGCTAGTTAGTGCGCCGAGCTTTGCTTTTAGCCTTCATCAGCATAAAAATTGTTTGTGAAATGTGGCAACGGAAGGACAGCAACACACAGCACAATAACGTGCTGCACATAAAAGGGCACTCGCCACAAAAAACAGCAACGATGACGAGCAAAGCAAGCACACTCATGCACAGACATATGTACAGACTTACGTACATCAATCACCTCGACATCTGCACCTTTGGTTGTAGCATTTAGCACCAACGACTTGAACCACGCCCAGCCAAGCACCTAGGGGGCTGCTTCTTACACTTCTGCGGTTCGTGTGTAGCGCACTTTCAGGCGTGTTGGCTTATACGCTTATTACCATTTTTACGAGCGCACACCAGTTACACGTATACCTCTATTTGTACACAAAAGTACGAAGTATTTAGGTTGGCAAATAGGCATTGCTGTTGTTTTCGACTTCTCATTCTACCTTCAGAGTCTCACAGTTTACAGTCCAGTCGTTATTGTTTTTGCTTTGTTTGTTTGTTGTTGCTGTTGTTGTTGTTGTTGTTGTTGTTCTTTTGACCGGAATTGCATGTGCCTCTAAGTTTTGGGCGTCAAAACGCAAATGACTTCCAACTTTATAGATGTACGCCCAGCGGCAAATAAAATACCTGAACAACGCTGAGCTGAGACCGTTAAGCGTCGTTGCCTGGGTCGAATCGCTTGGCTTATGCTCGGTTGATTATACGCAACCTTCGCATTCACATTCGCCTTCGCTTTTGAATTTGCTTGTACAGCTAACCTTGCCTTCACTTGCGACTTCTTGGCTTTCACCTTCGCGGCTACGACTAATTTGCATACTCTTACATAAGTGCCGGTGTGTATACTTTAAATAATAGTGAAAGCACATTTGTTGGCTGCTTTATATTTGCACTTTATTACTTCGCTGCTCATTACCGTGTTTTATGTGCGGTGACCTTGTTTGAAGGTACATATGTACAGTGTAGTGCCGGAAAGGTCACACAATTGGCAATCTGGTGCAGAGCAATGGAATTGTCGGGTAGTTTGAGGCGTAGATACATACATATTTGGAGTAGAAAAATTAGGGTGGTACATTTCAAATATGTACGATATTTCGTAAAGTAGAATACATTTTTAACAGCTGTCAAACCTTTGATGTTATTTTAACTTAAGTCATTTAGTCAATTAGTTATTTTGACATAATTTTTAATAAATTTATTTAGCCCTATTCCTTAATTTAATGACACTTTTAGTTGAAAAAAATATATATAAAAATATAGTTGGTACTTCGGAGAACACCACAATATCTGATCAAACTTCTTAATGAAGCTCAAGCGTGTCGTTAAAAATTATGTCCTATTATTCTATGCAACAAGAAGTCTTGGGGTGGTGCTACGGTCCATATTGATTCTTGTTCAGAATTATTTGTTTTAAGTTACATAATCATGAATAAAAATGTAATAGCGGCTTGGTATTCCAACTGTGGGGCCCTTTGCTAAATGTAATTTATTTGCTTCAAATACTAGATAGCTCCCTCACCCAAAAAGAGGGGACAGCTTGACATGGTACAGTTTTAGCTATTCTTGGATTTGCGTGCCATGTTAGTCCAGGTTGGTATTAAAGCTTGCATGGACACAATATTCTATCTTCTATGCATAGGTATAAGTCGATATCGTTAAAAGAGCATCTAACTTAATATTAATAAATGGAACCACGGCTCATTGCCGGCTGCCTTAGACGTGTGGTTACTTTTAAACAAGAAACCAAACCACTAAGCAAAATGCGAAAGTGCCCAATATTTACTTGTTAAAGCAATTTGTCAAATTTAAATCCCGTTTAAATAGAAGGTATGTGAAAAAAAATCAGAATGGCCATTCTTGCATGTTTAATATCGGCAAAGTCTGAACAAGATGGCTAAAATGGTGACTCAGCACCTCAGCAAATAACCGAGTTTCGTGGGAAAAGGCAAGATAAACGAGCTGGCTTTGCCTTTGGTATGACATATTTTGCTCAGGTGTGCCTACATATAGTGGACGTGTATGTTTCCACACGGAACTTCCTTAGAGGTTCGTTGATGTTTTGGAACGCTTTTACTTCCAGCGGTACCCTAAAACCTCACTTTTCGTCAACTCAGATGAACATGCTGGAGCACCAGAGTATTTTTTCTAAGTGCTTGCTTCCTTAGCTTGATGAAAATGCCGACTGAACTTTAAAATTTTACCTGAAGAGGCAACAATGCATGTCAGACCGAAATATGTCATATTAAAGGGCTGTTTTATCTTGTCCTTCCCCACGAAATTCGGGTGTTTAGCTACTGATGACAGTGATTTGCTAGTATCTATGAAGGTAGTTTGAATTTGCTTCTAGAATGTATTCTATTATGAGCCAGCATTTCAGCCATCAATTTCAGATTGTGGTGATATTCAGCGTGCAGGGATGGTTACTCTATTTTTTTCACATCCAATGGGGCTTTAAATTTTACAATCTGCTCTAACAAATACATTTTTCTACAAAGTTTGAAATTTGAACATGATTGCTTTTTGTTAGATAATGAGCTGTATTTTTATAACAAAATAACTGGTAATTTTTGAAA